CAAATGTGCCGAAGGGGCAGGTGAAAGTGGTCTTCGCCTGGTCCTCCGGTGCTATAGGGATCTGAAAGTACCCGGACATCCCATCCAGGAAGCAGTAGAACTCGTGCCCCGCCAATCTCTCCAGCATCTGATCAATGAACGGCAGCGGGAAATGGTCCTTTCGAGTAGCGTCGTTGAGACGCCGATAGTCGATGCAAACACGGTACCCAGTCACCGTGCGCATCGGGATGAGCTCGTTCTTCTCGTTAGGCACCACGGTCATCCCACCCTTTTTGGGCACCACCTGGGTGGGACTGACCCACTCGCTGTCAGAAATGGCGAAGATGATCCCCGCGTCCATCAGCTTCACGATCTCTGCCCGAACCACAGCCTCCAGGTTCGGCGTCAATCTCCTCTGCGGCTGCCTCACTGGCCGCATCTCATCCTCCAGCAGTATCCGGTGCGAGCAAAAGGAGGGGCTGATCCCCCGGATATCTGTGATCTTCCATGCCAAGGCTCGCTCGTACTGCTTCAGCAAGGCCACCAGTCTGGTCTTCTGCTCGGGTGTGAGGGTCGAGCTGATGATGACTGGCAGCTTATTCCCCTCCCGGAGAAATGCATACTCCAAATGGGGAGGGAGGGGCTTAAGCTCCAGCTCTGGTGGTTCTTCCAAGGAGGTGGTGATGCGGGTGGAGGATGAGATCGGTTTAAACAGCCTGTCGTCCTCCAAGAAGGGGCCACTCTCCAACTCGGCCAACTGCTCCGCCAGCTGCGGCTCCTGCGATGCCTGCTCACCTAGCAAAATACAACGCTCAAGAACATCGTCAGTACCCGCACCCGTGATAGCGAGTGCGGTCTCATAATCAGCAAGCATATCACAGTAATCTATGTCATCATGCAAATGAGGGTGTTTCCCATTCTCAGACACAGAAAAAGTAGCCTGTTCATCACCAGCACGCAAGATCAATTTACCACTATGTACATCAATAAGTGCCTTGGCGGTGGCGAGAAATGGTCTACCCAAAATCAAAGGCACATCCACATCCTCATTTATATCCAAAATAACAAAATCAACAGGATATGTGAATGCACCAACATTAACAAGCAAGTCCTCAATGATACCCCTAGGATGCACGATAGAACGATCAGCTAACTGAATGCTCATCCTAGTAGCTCTAGGTTCACCTAGGTCTAGCTTCTTAAACAGTTTATAGGGCATGACATTTATACTAGCGCCTAGGTCCGCCAAGGACTTTCCTACATGCATGCTGCCAATAACAAGAGGGATAGTGAAACTCCCTGGGTCTTTGCGCTTCTCGGGCAGCTTGTTCTGCAGGATGGCAGAACACTCCTCGCTGAGCATCACTGTCGAAAGATCCCCAAGTTTCTTCTTGTTGGTGAGGAGGTCTTTCATAAACTTGGCATACTTGGGCATCTTCGACAGTGCCTCCACGAACGGCATGCTGATGTTTACCTGCTTCAACATTGCCATGAACTTGGCAAACTCTGTCTCCAGCCTGTCTTTATGAAGTCTAGTGGGGAAGGGCAGCTGGGGTATATACTCCTTAACCACAGGTTGTGGCTTGGGAGCAGGTGGTGCGCTGCCTTCCTCCACTTCTGCAGTATCAGCTGGAGGTGTTGAAGCAGGTAGTGGTTCGTCTCGCCTGGGCTGGGCAGGAGCAGCAGATATGGTCTTACCACTCCTGGTGGTGATGGCATGGGCAGTCTCGTGAGGGTCGCGAGGATTGGGGACAGTGGTGGCAGGCAGAGTCCCCGGTGCCCTGGTAGTGTTCTGGCGAGCTAAGCCCCCAATCTGGTGCTGGAGATCCTGCAGAATGGCACCTTGGTTTCTCTGGCCTGCCTCCAGGGTTCTCTGGCCTGCCTCCAGGGTTCTCTGGCCTGCCTCCAGTGAAGCTATGGACTGATCCATCCTCGTGATAGTCGCCTGGCTGGTGGTCATGAATGCCGCCAAAACGTTCTTCAGCTCGGTCATCTGATTATCGGGAGCTGGTGCTGCTGCTGGCTCGGCATACTGACGCGGAGGCTGCTGGATTGGCTGCCCTTGCCTAGGCTGGTAAGGCTGCTGCTGTGGTGGTGGCCCCTGCCTAGCCTGGAAGGGCTGCCTCTGCTGGAAACCACCTGCTGGTGCTGGGAAACCAGGTGGCTTGTTGGTGTTGCTGCTCCAGGCAAAGTTAGGATGCTGGCGCCATCCCTCATTGTAGGTACTGCTGTATGGGTCCAGGCGCCGAGCATTGGCGATGAAGTCCACCTGCTCTTGGGGAGTAGAAGACTCCCTCATAGACTGACAATCCTCCACGAGGTGATTCGGGCTCTCACACCACTGACACTGAGCGACTGGAGGCGGAGCTACACATCGGCCCAGAAGGAGACTGTTAGGCTGCTTCAGTGCCTGCACCAACTCAGCCACCTGCTGCTCTAACCCGGATCTGGTCTCCATAGCATGCACACCACGGTCCCTGGAATGTCTGCCTCTGCTGCTCTGCCCCCAGGAATGATCTCTGGCAGCCAATGTGTTAATCATCTGGTTCAGCTCGGGTGGAGTCTTAGTGAGAACATCCCCTCCTGGGCATAAAGACTCAATCACCCTCTGGCTATCTAGGGAGAGAGCGCTGTAGAAGTTCCCCACTGTGAATGCATCACTAAAGCCATGGTGGGGACACTGCCAGAAATATCCCATGTACCGCTCCCAAACATCTCGAAGTGACTCATCTGGCTCTTGGCGGAAGTGAGTGATCTCCCGCTGTATCTCTGTAGTCTTCGATGCCGGATAGTACCTGTGCACGAATTTGTCAGCCAGATCGTCCCAAGAGGTGATGGACAATGGGGGCTGGGTCTCCAACCACCTCTTAGCATTCCCCGCCAGAGAATGGGGGAAGAGGTGAAGGCGGATCGCATCATCCGGGACACCATTCAGCTTGAACCCGTTCGTCAGCTGCAGAAAACGGGACAGATGTACCCTGGCCTCCTCATCCTTCAAGCCATGGAACTGGATAGAAGATGTAATGAGCTGAATCCAGCATGGCTTGATCTCGAAGTTGTTTGCTGGGATAGGCGGGTAGAGGATGACCGGGCGGATGTCAGCAATCCGCGGAGTATAGAAGTACTCCAAGGTGGGACCCGGTGGTGGTGGATGATGATGGTGCCCAGCTCCCTGGGGGTTTGGGTCGTTCCCCAGGATCTGGTTCTGAGGAGGCGGGTTCTGATCGCCTTCCATCTCGTGCTCGTCCTCGGAGTCGCTGGTCAATTGGCCGTCTCGGCGCTCCACCGTAGCCAGTCTAGCTTGCTGTTGTCTCCGAAGTTGTTTGCAGGTGCGCTCAATCTCAGGATTCAACGGCAGTAAACCTCCCGACTGGCTACGGGTCATGCACTATCTGCACACAATCAAGCAATGCAAACCCCGTGAAGGCACAAGTGGGAAAAAAGATAAAATGCAGTAAATAAAAAGCTAGAGTAACAAATTCTCACGTTTCCCCAATAATCTAGAGGTCTCCCCGGCAACGGCGCCAAAAACTTGACACGCTAAAACACAACACCTAACAATGGCCAAGTGTAACCAATGAAAGGGACTGCAGTATAGGCAAGTTTAATTATCAAAACGTGGTCTAGATCTACTGCTTACTCCGTGATTCTCTATTATCTAGCAAACTAAGTCGAGTGATTGTTGTGAAAAGTAAAAGCAACAAGAAAGCAGTAATTTGTTCGGGTTTCTAAATCAGGTAAGAGTCACTCGGGATTGAGTCCCCCTAGCCCCTTTGTTAGGTTCAATTGCAATTCCCTGGGTTGATTTACTGTTGATTAGACTGCGGAAGATCTGACAGTAGCTTGGAATCTCTTAAGCTGACCAAGCCCTCTCAGTCTAACTACCCGGCAGACGACTAGTCTTCACCGGGATAGAAAGCTGAGGCTATGAACACAGAACTCCACTACTGGCGCCAAGAACACCAGTACAAAGCAGTAAACTGGCTAACTCTTGTATAGCCAATCTCCTACTATCGAATGAAGAGGCTCTAACAACCTAATCAGATTCTATCTATCTTAGATTGCAGCAGAAATTGAGAAAAGCTGATCAAACTCAAATCAATTCATTAAACATGCGTCATTCGATTAAAATCCAACAGTAATATCATCCCAAGTCATTACAATCAAATCCCTAACACAAGGAACTAGGGTTCTTCATACCCAAGTGAGAGAAGGGTTCTACTCCATAGAGAGAGAAGAGAAAACAAGAATCGGATTAGTCATACTCATAACGATGAGGATAATCTGCTCCGGGACGATGATTTTCACTCCTATGACGATCTCCAGGCTCGATTCGATGAAATCCAGCTCCAAGATAGCTTCTAGGGTGTGTTCTTCGCACTTTCTCTCTCTAGGGCTCTGTTTTTGCTCTCAAAACACGATCCCCTCACTTCTGGCTCGGATTAGGCTTAAAAACAGGCTTTCCCGAGTTGCACGGCCAGGTGCACGGCCGTGCACTACACAATTCTGGCCGTGCAGCCCTAAAACGCAGCGTATTCACTTAAGTCGAGCTCAGCCAGCTTGCACGGCCAGGCGCACGGCCGTGCAGTCTCCTTGTCTGCCCGTGCATGGCCTCGGCATGAGGTGCACGGCCAAATGGCTCAAGTGCACGGCCGTGCAGCCTCCTGGTCTGCCCGTGCACCTCTCCAAAAGGCTCGCCCTTCGTCCGTTCTTCGTCCAATCGACCCCAGACTCGCTCCTAAGCCTTCATTCACGTACTAGGACCTGAAATAACACAAACAAGCACAACCTAGCGTGAAATCGGCCTAAAACACGAGAATCAACACCTCAAACGGTGTAAGTATGAGGGTAAAAACATGTGTAAATGACGGTCTATCAACTGCAGGATGTACCTGATCCAGAGATCATGGTAGCTTTTCCTGTTGGGGGTGATCCTAATAATGCGGCCTTTGTGGCTTGGACGACTACACCGTGGACTCTCCCTAGTAATCTTGCCCTTTGCGTCAATCCTACCTTTGATTATGTTAAGGTTAGTCCCTCGTTTTGTACGATCCTCTAGGTATTTGTTTTCAGTTAAAAGAGACTGCTTAATAGAACGCAATTTTGAAGACCAGCTCCGAGTATGTATTGGCTTTTAGACAAGTGCTCATTTCTTTGGTTTGGTGTATCAATACAAGGTGGAAGCAGTAATGTACTGCTAGGGACCTAACCTATTAGAAAAGTTTCCTACTTGACAAAACATCTGAGCATCTGTTATTTAGTACGTTGATTAGAGCTGGAAGCTGCATTAGCTGGGCATATTAGCTTATTTATCCTATGAGAAAGCCAAGTGCTTCAAGTTGCTGAAAGCCTTATTACTGAAAGCTTTTCAGCGGGTGTCCTTTTATGAAAAACATGTCATTCAATAGTTAGACTGCCAGTTAAGTACCTAATATGCAGTGGAAAACTATGTACAGGTCCGCAGCAAGTATACTGGTAAAGTGTATGTAATTGCGGAATGTCTCTTATCCTCCATTCCTGTCGAGAAGCCAAAATCAAGTGATTCAAAGACATCGAGCTCCAAGACAAAGGGTGCAAAGACGGAAAAGCCAATGGATTCATATGAATTGCTACAGAAATTTAAGGGCAGTGAACTTGTAAATAAAAAGTAAGAGTTCTGTCCTTATGCCTCTGAGTTTGGATTATGCTTCTTGGTGGCCTGCAGTACTCGTTTAGTATAACCTTATGTTTGGAAAATTTTGCTGCTAATTGTCGAATATTAGTTGGATTCAACTGGCATCTGAGATAATTTCGGTAATAGTTTTGTTAGAGAAAGACATCTAGTTGGAACCAAACTGGATGCTGAACTTTTAGTAGAGTACTAATTGAAGAATAATAATTTTGCTTAAAAGAATTACTCTCTCCTTTGTCGAAATCTTTGCCACACATGCTTGGAACTCCCCCCCTCGCGGCGAAATGCAATTGAACTTTGGACGAACTTGTTTTTAACCATTTTTATTCTTTAAAGAGGAGCTTCTCATTAGCGTGTGCTCTTAGCATGTTAAACCTTCATCAACCACCATATTTTTGCAGCTTTCTTATTGCTTTTACATAATAGCAGTTTAATGTAACCACTAAATAATTCTATGCAGCTTAGATGTCCTGTCTTTTTCCCCTCCAGACATTGCTTCTCTCTTCTTTGGCTGTGAGAATAACATTTCGCTGTTTTCCTTCACTTCTGAAATAAATTAAAATTGTCATACCTCATGATCAAGATCTCCGTTGCAGGTACGAACCACTGTTCAATTATTTCCAGGAGTTTTCTGACGCAGCATTCAGAGTTGTGGCTGATAATTATGTGACATCTGACCGCGGAACTGGAATTGTTCATTGTGCGCCTGCATTTGGAGAAGATGATTACCGAGTTTGTATTGAGAATAAAATAATCAATAAGGTCTGTCATCCATTTTTTCTGCATCTCACAATTTTCCTGCCCCAGAAGCTGTCCTGTGGTTAATTCTAAACTAACCAGTAGAAGGGAATTTGTTTATTTCCATCACGCGTCTCAGTAATCATAGATATATGTAATCCTCAACAAAATTAATATCAGAGATGTACTTATGTGACACGCCTTTTTTGCTTTCTCTCTCCTTTTGTTTTGTTCCCATTAACTCTCATGTAATATTCTTTGTCAAAAAAAAAACCTCTAATGTAATTTTTCCTGGATTTTAGGGCGAGAATTTGGTTGTCGCTGTTGATGATGATGGTTGCTTTACTGAGAGGATTACTGATTTCAGTGGGCGCTATGTTAAGGATGCTGACAAAGATATCATCGAGGCAGTGAAGGTGAGCCCGCCTTGCCTGACATTGATAAAAGGATACAGATTCTGAATTTTTTTCTCCTTTATGTTTGTATACAGAATCTTCTACACTGAGTCCAGTCAAAGGAGGTTATGGTTGTAGCTTTGTGGCTCTTAATTATTACTATTTCAAATAAGTTTACTCTTTCCTGACCGGCTTAAACTATCTTTAATCACCAGGAGTGGAATTAAGAATGATGTCTCCGCCTTAATGTCAATCCTCTTTGTTATGGTACTTGTGTTTGGTGCCGATTTACTGTTCATCTGCTTACAATTTCTTTAAATATTTTAGGGAAAGGGTAGGCTAGTAAAAACTGGAAGCTTTATGCACAGCTACCCTTTCTGTTGGAGGTCTGACACCCCACTTCTTTATAGAGCTGTTCCAAGCTGGTATGTGCACATTTTTCTTTCCGTCTCCTTTCCCCTTATTTTAACAATTTTTCTTTTGCATTGTGTATAAGGTTATACTGATTGTCATTTTAAATTCTTTCTGTAGGTTTGTTAGAGTGCAAAAGCTGAAAGACCAACTGTTGGAAAACAACAGTCAGACATATTGGGTACCTGATTATGTGAAGGTTAGGATCTTACCCTGCCCTCTCCTTCTGAACCTAGAACACACTATTTGTCTTTGGACTGTCTGGTGAAGAATTTGAGGTTTTGTAGTAGGGCATGCTGGGGTTTTGAAATATGCTAATCTTAGTTATCTATTCATCATATCTTTAACAACAGAAGAGTGCAAAGATTGATGGACATGATACTATGAAATTGGAGCATATCAATCTATCTATGGAATTGAATCCTGTATTAATTTATACTAATTGTGGAATAAGGTCTGCTTGTTCAAAGGATTGACTGATCGCCTTGATCTGTATGCACCGGAACGATGTTATTGGTGCATCCTAAGCATGCACATCCCATGACAACTGCTTTTCAAAGAAGCAAAGTTATGTTGTGCAGCTTGAAAATGAGCTCATTTTTCGAGTTTTTAGGCCAGTAAATCAATCGCATATGTTTTCCTGTGATTTCTAGCATGCTTCTTCAGATTCTTGGTGTTTCTCAGCACTGTTCTTAGTCCTTTCTTCTACCTACTTTGCTTCATATTCTACAGGATAAGAGATTCCACAACTGGTTAGAAAATGCACGAGACTGGGCTATTAGTCGCAGCCGGTTTTGGGGTACTCCTCTCCCTGTATGGATCAGTGGGGATGGAGAGGAAATAGTAGTAATTGATTCTGTTGCCAAGCTGGAAAAACTTTCTGGTGCTAAGGTTTGTTTTCTTTACTGGCCTTCACTGAGTGATGTACAAATAGTGTTTGTTGAACTTGCACATTGTAGTAAATATGAATGTTAAACCTTGGAAACTCAGTGTTGACTTTGAGCTAAATGGGGACAGTTGTGCCTTATGCATCCTGTTTTCTGGTCTAGTGCTTGATACACATATATGGCGAATGGGGCTTGGGGTTTGTAATAAATTTCTGATGAATGGTCCTTGCATATTAAATTTTAATGCCTCCTTCGATGTTTATTGTTCCTGTTGCATGAGGGTATAGAGGTTCTTTTTACTACTGAGTTGGATTAAGAGCTATCTTCATTTTTTTTCTCTTTTTCTATTTGTTTTGTCTGATGACTGTTGAATATTTTCCAGGTGTTTGATCTGCACCGTCACAAGATTGATCACATCACGATCCCTTCTAGTCGTGGCCCTGAATTTGGGGTGCTTCGGCGTGTGGACGATGTAAGCCTCTAGAAGAGACTCGGTGGTTTTCTGTTATCAGATTTTTGTTAAACTAGAATCTTGGATTTATAATCTTGACTATATGCTTTCTTTGGCAGGTTTTTGATTGTTGGTTTGAGAGTGGGTCGATGCCTTATGCTTATATCCATTATCCCTTTGAGAATGAAGAATTTTTTGCGGAAAATTTTCCTGGTCATTTTGTTGCTGAAGGGCTAGATCAAACTCGTGGATGGTTGGTTCCTCCTTTTCAACTTTCATAACTATATTTGTGAGCATCCAATGTGTTTATACATGTGTCTTTTAGTGATTTTTTGTTGTTCATGTATGTCCTGCAAAGAAATGCAGTGATAAAATACTCTCTGAACATTCTCATGACATAAGTCTGGTTTCTGTAGCTCTTGTCACCAATAAAAAGTGATCTTGTGTAGATTTTTTAGCTTGAGAATGTAGGCCACTCAACATCAAGTAACTCATTTTTTAATATGTAATGCTCCCCAAAATTGCTTGACAAGAACATTGCTGATCCCAATCGCTCCAGTCACCACAAGGAACTCACGAGGAATTCTGATTGGTATTATATTATTGATTGCAGGTTCTATACTCTCATGGTGCTGTCAACTGCATTATTTAGAAAACCAGCATTTAGGAATCTTGTCTGCAACGGTCTGGTCCTTGCTGAGGATGGTAAAAAAAATGAGTAAAAAATTGAAGAACTACCCATCACCGATGGATGTAATCGATGATTATGGAGCTGTAAGTGTTAAGACCTTATTACTAGTTGTCTTGGGGTTTTGTTATGCTTTTGTGTATTTGAGCCCTGCTCATTTTTTAGCATTTTGTTTTTCTTTGACACAGGATGCTTTAAGATTGTACCTTATCAATTCTCCAGTTGTGCGGGCTGAAACTTTGCGTTTCAAGAAGGATGGAGTCTATAATGTTGTAAGTACATTCAGAAATATCTTAATAATTAAGTAGTGCGCATTGATTATTAGTTGAAGCTCAATCTCCTCCATGATCTGGGCTATAAAAGAGGTCGACCCAGTTCTGCTATGTTCAGGTTGGGCCGAGAGCCGGCAATAGACGGGTTTTCTGTCTACTATGCAGTATAAGTTTTGGTGGGCCTTCTAGTTCGTTACTAATTGTAGACACTCTACCCAGCCATATTTACTGCTTGTTCTGCAATTCTTTTTATCATTATGATTTTTGTTATCTTTTTGTCATTGCATGATGGAGATAGGCCTCTCATTTCCTATTCCTACAAAGTAGCGATAATGAAGTTGCAACTTCATTGAGTTTTGGGTTTAACTAACATATAGTAGTTTAGTAGTAAATAGAAGAGGGAGCCTTTATCTCCAATGACAAAGGAGTTGTGTTCATAAAACTCTGAAACTCATAGGTCTTCCCTTGAGCCCCTAATGTTGTGCCTGCATATGAAGGAGGACAAATCTCTTTGATCATTTACTAATACCACCAGGCACTACAGTTACCTTCCAACTACTTGTTGTTAACCTTGACAATGCAGTTATCCAGCATGCATTTTGTGTTTATTTGGGCTTATAATTTTTTATTTTCTTCACCTGTTATCTCTTCTGTTCATGTTCTCTGTGCATATTCCTCATATTAGCCGTCCTTCTTATGTGCAGGTGAAAGATGTCTTTCTTCCATGGTATAATGCATACAGGTTTCTTGTTCAGAATGCCCAGAGACTTGAGGTTGAAGGACTTGCACCATTTTCTCCTGTTAGTCCAACAGCTCAGCAGAATTCTTATAATGTGCTTGATCAGTGGATCAACTCAGCTACTCGAAGTCTTGTACATTTTGTCCGCAAAGAAATGGATGCTTACCGACTTTACACGGTTGGCACTGTCCCAGAGCATTTCTGTTCTGCTGGATTTCTTGCATTCAATGATTGATAATTTGTGTCTTCTTATGTGTGTTTAGGTTAGGTTTACTGAAATTTCATATCCCCTGATAAATTTCTCTTTATAATGTTTGCAGGTGGTTCCATATCTTCTGAAGTTTCTGGACGACCTGACAAATGTATACGTCCGCTTCAATCGGAAGAGATTGAAAGGTCGTACTGGGGAGGAAGATTGCCGAATCGCTCTCTCCACTCTCTACAACGTATGTTTTCATTAATCATATCTTTATATAAATGGATTTGGTTCCTATATGGTTGATCTCTTGGAGTCCTTTGCTACTGTTGTTATATTGGATACTTGTGATGACTAAAAAATGATTGGTGCTTCAGGTGCTTCTAACTGCTTGTAAAGTGATGTCATCATTCACACCGTTCTTCACAGAGGTCCTCTATCAAAATATGCGGAAATTTTGTGCAAACTCAGAAGAAAGCATTCATTATTGCAGTTTTCCTCAGGAAGAGGGAGAGGTACTGCCAAATCATTTTGTAGATGTGCTTAGTTGATCTTTGTGGCTTAAGTTTTGGTTCACTTCTTTCACTATTCGAAAAGCTCATCATTACTTTCTTTGCATCCCATGGCAATCCCATATCAAAAAAGATTTGTTCTCATTTCCCTCTCCCTTGCACACAACATATCTTCCCTTCTACATTTCATGTATAAAGTATATTCCCATTACAGAGAGATGCACGAATTGAGCAAAGTATTTCAAGGATGAAGACCATTATCGATCATGCTCGTAATATCCGTGAGCGGCATAACAAACCTCTCAAGTCACCACTTAGGAAGATGATTATTGTTCATCCTGATGGAGACTTCCTTAATGATATAGCTGGAAAACTAAGTGAGGTTTGTCATAACTATGTGCAATTTTTATCTATCAGCTTCAGAATTATTTTTTTCCCCCCTCTTCGTTACATCTTCACGTGTGAATTCTTGTTGCGCAATTACTTCAGTAGCATATCCGATTGCTTTCTACGTTGGAAGAAAGTGTCTACTTGAAAGTGTCTCTATGATGGAGTGCCTCTATTGGATTCTTTGGTGCATTAATTGGCATGCAATGATGCAAATGCATAGACTAGAAGAAGGTGTCTATTTGAAAATGGGGATTGGATGTTCCAATAGTTACTCTCTGAGCTCATAATTTGTACTTTTAGCACCCAATTTTAGGACAGACTAATTATATGCTAATTAGTTTTTCCATTTACTCTAGCATCGGAATTTCTAGTTTTGTTCTAATTATCTGACAATAAATTATTTTTGTTCCATTGTAGTTTGTACGAGAGGAACTCAATGTAAAAGATCTCATCACATGTAATGACACTTTGGAGTATACTTCTCTACGAGCAGAGCCCGAGTTCAGGTATCTTATTATTATTATTAGGTGACTTATCCGGGTAAAATCCGGGGTGCGGATACCTTGGCCGATCTTAACCATTCGTTCTCAATCTCTACGGCTTGCTTGGCCGATCTTAACCATTCATTCTCAATCTCCACGGCTCGCGTTTGTTGAACTTAACTACCCCACTAAATAACTAAACAAATTACAAAAAGCCTCCTTATGTGTTAAGATTGTTTTCATTCTAGTCCAACTAACTGCCCCCATAAAATTAAATGGATTAAGACTGCAAATCCAATTGGGTAGACCCACTGCCGTCCTAACCAATTTCCAGTCTCCCTAACCAATTACACAATCCCTTACTCGTCTTGGAGGGGACGCTCCTTCACAGTTCCAAGAGAAGCTCCTCATCGAATTTGAACTCCCCAACATAATCATCTTTTTGAATCCCAATTTCTTGCAGCCACATTCGACATAGTTTGAATTTTCCCATTTCTTTTGATTTGTTTGTTCTTCGCCGTTTTATTTTCCCTTGCCTATCTCTTTCTAACACGGTTACGGCGACCATGTCTATTATTGTGTTCATCAAACTTTTCATTCAGCCAACCCTGTGGTTCATGTTGCTGGTGCTTTGTTATCTTGTCTTAGCGTTATTGTCATTTTCTCGAAACTTCTATCTCTCGGTCAAATTAAGGTTTCCTGATATGTAGGGATCGGCCCAGAGGATTGAGGAAGAACACAGAATTTGATTCGAATCGGATGGAGAGGTCGCCTTAACTTGTGTTTATGTATTAACATTGCGTTTATGACTAATTCTAGTTGGACTGGGATCCGTGTTATTTCTGAGTATAATCATTGTTTTTTGTAGGCTTTTAAATAACATTAAAAAATGGGCTTGTACATGATCCATGGAATATTCAAAAGTGGGCTTGGAACGTGCGAGCCCATTTCATTTCTCCTGCCGTATCATCTGTTTGTTCGGCCTCGAAGAAGGTACGAACTTACGAGATTACGACCATTGATTCCTGCGCCAACCCTAGTTTAACTAGCATGACTTGCCCTAGTTTAACCTACATAAGTTACCATCATCTTTACATATCTTCCGTAATCTTCTTGACTCTTGACATTCCATTTACCTCCACAGTCCACCATCTCCATCACCCTCACGTCTCCACCCCCCACGATCACTTTTTCTTTCTCCACTTATCTCTCCATGTTACACCTACATAATCTCTCTCTTCCGTCTTCACCTTCTCCCACTTCCTTCTTTCCTACAATCTGAAATCTCGTCATGGCAAAGAATAGTCGATCGTTTGCAGAGATGGAATACTTTCTTTATCCAACAAAGACGGCCGATCCACTTCCAGTCTTGGTGACTATCTCTCGTTTTCAAGCAAAACAACCATTGTCGTCGAGTACGAGTTCATCCACCTCAGCCCTTTCCCTCCCGAAGTGAAGACATTAATAAAAAATCTTGGTTGGGAAAATATCTTCGTTCTCCGGAGTCGAGAAAGCACAAGTTACGGTCCCCTTGTCGTGAGAAAGTTCTACCACAATCTTGAGCTTTTTTCCCCCCTCTGATTCTCATATGGTATCGATCTTCCTCGGACATAGAGTCTGCTTTCAGTCTCATCAATTTGCTGAGATCTTTGATCTTCTCGCCGGACCCATTACGAGCAGAAGCGATCTTGCGCGGCTTCACGAATTTGAGTTTGAAGTTGAACTGTCGAAACTCACGAAGGGCCTGCATCGATGCTTCTTTGCTCCCAGATCCTCTTCTATTCCTCCACTGGTTGATCGTCAACTGCTTCCTTCTAAGGTACCGTGGTCATTCCATTATTCGTAAACTTGATTTGTTTGTCCTTGTGCAAGCTTAGAGAGGTGTTCCTGTTAACCTCGCATCTTTAATGTGTCTGAACATGGTCGAAGCTGATCCCAAAGGGAATAACTGGTATACTGTCTTTCCCTATGCGACCTTCGTCAACACCTTTCTTGAAAGGGTTGGGATGGATCTGAGCGTTTATATTAAGGAGGACTATTCTGCTTATTTGTCGGTGTACCGCATAGCCGAATTGATTAATACTTTTCTTGAGAATCGGCATACGCAGGATCGACAAACCCCTGAGTCCTCCTTAACGTTTGCTTGAGGAGGCCTCAGGGGTCTCTTGATGCTTCGTATGCTGATTCTCAATAAAAGTATTTGGTCAATTCGGCTATACGGTACACTGGCAAATAAGCGCACTGGTCCTCCTTAACATAAACCCCCATATCCATCCCAACCCTTCCAAGAAAGGTTGTCACGAAGGTGGAATAGGGAAAGGCAGTATACCAGTTTTCCCCTTTAAGAGCAGCTTCAACCATGTTCAGGCACATGAGATATGCGAGTTTAACAGGAACACCTCTTTGAGCTTGCACAAGGATAAACAAGTCAAGTTTACAAATAATCGAATGACCATGGTACCTTGGTAGGAAGCAGTTGACGATCATCTAGTGGAGGAATCGAAGAGGATCTGGGAGGAAAGAAGCCTGGATGCGCCCCTTCGTGATTTTCGCCAGTTCAACTTCAAACTCAAAATCGTACAACCACACAAGATCGCTTCTGCTCTCAATGGGGTGTCCTCTAGCGGGAAGTCCAAGAATCTCAGCAAATTGATGAGGCTGAAAGCAGACTCTATGTCCCAGGAAGATCGACACTAGATGAGAATCACAGGGACCAGAAAGCTGTAGATTGTGGTAGGACTTCCTCACCACATAGGGGCAGTAACTTGTGCTTCCTCAACTCCGGAGATCAAAGAACTTTTCTCAGCCAAGATTTTTTATTAACGTCTTCACTTCTGGAGGGAAATGACTTAGGTGGATGAACTCGTACTCAGCCACAATTGCGGTTTTGCTTGTAAATGAAAGATAGTCACTGAGACTGGCAATGGATCGGCAGTCTTCGTTTGATAGAAATAGTATCCCCATTTTCGCAAACGATCTACTTTTGTTTGCCATGGAGTCTGGAGGAAGAACGAACAAGGGGAAGGTGAAGATGGAGGAGAGAGAGAATGTAGGTGTAAGAAAAAGTGATCGTGGATGTTGAGTCTGGAGACGTGAGTGTGATGGAGACGTTTGAGTCTGGAATGTCAAGAGTTAGAAGATTACGAAAGATATGTAATGATGATGGTAACTCGTGTAGGTTAAACTAGGGTAAGTCATGCTAGTTAAACTAGGGTTGGCGCACGAATTGATACGACAGGAGAAATGAAATGGGCTCGCACGTTCCAGATCGACTTTTGAATATTGGATGGATCATGTACAAGCCCACTTTTGAATGTTATTTAAAAGCTTGAAAAAATCAATGATCAGACCCAGTCGAACTAGAATTAGTCTTAAATGCACCGTTAATACATAAACACAAATTAAGGAAACCTCACCATCCGATTCGAATCAAATTTTGTCTTCTTCATCTCCTCCCTCAATCCTCTGGCGAGACGAACACTACATATCAGAAAACCTTAATTTCACAGAGAGATAGAAGTTTCGAGAAAATGACAATAACGGTAAGACAAGATGACAAAGCACTAGCGACATGAACCCTAGGGTTAGCAAAATGAAAAGTTTGATGAACACAATAATAGACATGGTCGTCGTAATCGTGTTAGAAAGAGATAGGCGAGGGGAAATAAAATGGCAAAGACAAATTAAATTGGGAAATTCAAACTACGTCGAATGTGGATGCAAGTAATTGGGATTCAAAAAGATCATTAAGTTTGGGAGTTCAAATTGATGGGGAGCTTCTCTTGGAACTGTGAAGGGGCGTCACTCCAAGACGAGAGAGGGATCGTGTAATTGGTTAGGGCGGCAGTGGGTCTACCCAATAGGGAGGGTGTGGAGGTAATTGGAAAGTCAAGAAGATTACGGAAGATATGTAATGATGATGGTAACTCGTGTAGGTTAAACTAGGGTAAGTCATGCTAGTCAAACTAGGGTTGGCTCAGGAATCAATTGCCGTAGGTTTGTAACTTCTTCGAGGCCGAACGAACAGATGATACGGCAGGGAAAATGAATTGGACTCGCACGTTCCAGGCCCACTTTTGAATATTCAATGGATCATCTACAAGCCCACTTTTGAATGTTAATTAAAAGCCTGCAAAAATCAATGATTAGACCCAGACCCAGAAATAATACGGATCCCAGTCCAACTAGAATTAGTTCTAAACGCCGTTAATACATAAACACAAGTTAAGGTGACCTCTCCATCCGATTCTAATCAAATTCTGTCTTCTTCCTCAATCCTCTGGGCGAGACGATCCCTACATATCAGAAACCCTTAATTTCACCGAGAGATAGAAGTTTCGAAAAAATGACAATAACGCTAAGACAAGATGTCAAAACACTAGCGACAATGAACCCTAGGGTTAGCAAACCTCTTTCAAGGGTTCTTTTGCAAATGAAAAGTTTGATGAACACAATCAATCAATAATAGACATGGTCGTCGTAATCGTGTACAGTTAGGTTGAAGTCGAATGAGAAAAGGTTTAACGCTTCGTGATGCTTTTTGTAATTTTCCTTGTCGGGGTCTTCCGTACCCCAGATTTTGCCCTGGACACCCTAGAACTGCCAATTATTATTATTATTGTTGTTATTATTATTATTATCGCTGCTGCTGCTGCTATAACGTGATACTGTTTTGCGTGACACTGTAAGCATTTTTCTTTACCTTTTAGTGCGTTAGGTAAACGGCTTGGAAAAGATATGGGAGTTATTGCCAAAGAAGTGAAAGCAATGTCTCAAAACGAGATTTTGGAGTTTGAGAAAGTTGGTGAACTTACCATAAAGATGCACTGCCTAAAGCTAACTGACATCAAGGTGAGTTCTTCAGTGGTTGCATTCTTTCGAATGTTTAATTCACTACTTCTATCCTTTTACATTTTTATTAAAAGCAATTATCTAACCTTGCAGGTTCGTCGGGAATTCAAACGTCCTGATGCCTTGACCGAGAAGGAAATGGATGCTGCTGGAGATGGTAGGATTACTATTTTGGAAGTTCTTCGACACTAGTTTTGGACTTAAGCGGATGCCTTAAGTGTTACTCTAATGTTTTTGCAGGTGATGTACTAGTTGTTTTGGATTTACGGCCAGATGAGTCCTTGTTTGAGGCTGGCTTTGCTCGCGAGGTACATCTCTTTTCTGTTTATGTTAAGTATAGACATTGTCTCTGGCATCTGTAACTTCATATCGGCTTTGATTACTAGTTACTTTTACACAATTGACATCCCATATGTCCGCCAAAACCTTTATCGTCATATAGTGTCTGAAATTTTTGGATATTTCACATGTTTGAAGCAATATCATTATTTTCTGCTGAACTTTGGTAGCCAAAGCAGCTTTGATGGAATTTTATTTTCACTTGATGCTGAGTACAGGTGGTCAACAGAATCCAAAAACTAAGGAAAAAGCTTGCGCTTGATCCTACTGATGCTGTGGATGTTTACATTGAATCCTTGAAGGAGAACTCAACCCTGCAGCGAGTTCTCGATTCACAGGTAAAATTGATCTCTGTTAGTTCCAGCTATGTGAAACACAAAGAAGTTATTCAGTATTGTAAGCCTACTGAAATTATCAGTCTTTTGTTATTGCTTCTCCTCCTTATCCTTTTTTTCGATTTTCTTATCCTGGTAGCTGTCGCCTTCCTCTTCCAAACCAGATTGTGCTTGATCCCTGTCTGTACAGCTTTTTTCTTTACAAAGTGTTGGATTCTGGATTTCTTCGGGTTTAATTAGTACATTCGGACTTAAATGTTTCAGGAAATACTCGATTTTGTCAGATGTTACAAGTTTACTTGGTGTCTAGGGACCATAGTAATCTCAAAACAGAGGTCCAGCTAGGAAATGGGACAGTAAGATAGCTGCTTCTTCTTAAGAGTTCACGTTTCTTGGTGACCCTTGGATCCATGCCCTGTTAATGTTTATTTACGGTCTTTACTGTGGTTTCAGATAAGGGTAGATTCCATTGAGAATCTGCCTCCTGTGGAGCTAGAGTTGGGAAGGCACTTTCACTTGAACGTAGGAGATCACTTCGTGGCTACAAGAATGCAACTTGGCTGAAAATGCATAGTCGAGATGGATTCCCTTCTGGTTATAATGGACAGCAGTTTTCTTCCAACTTTTCTTACAGTATTTTGTAGTTGATTGAAGTGCAGTGATGAATGTAGTCTAGATTTTGCCATCACATTCAAGAGAATTAGGGCTTGGAATCCCCTTTTTGTATTAACCAACCTAAGAATGAAATAGGGTTGGGGTACTTCGTAGATTTTGTTCCTACAGAGAACTAGGGCTTATTTGTTTGCAATTTTTACTTGTGACCATGTAGGAGAGATGGGGGAAAGCAAGGAGTTTACGTGAACCGCAACGCAACATGTTGGGATTATACGAGTTTGGCGTGAGATTGCTAGGTTGGATGTTGGTAACATAATGCCTAGTTAAGTAGGGCAACAATTTCCACAAGGTCTGTTATTCCGTGCATTTTAAATGCAAATAAGTTGGAGAATGGATTTATGTTGGCAAATTATATTTTAGTATTCACTTATATTTAAAAATTTGGTACTTAAAATTATTTATTTTTAGGATTATAGGTATAATATGCCCTTCTACTATGCAGTCTATTAAACATGTCATTTTACTATTTTTTACATCAACATACCACTATGCATCCAAAAAATTATCAAACATGCTCTTATGTTAAAATTTTCATTAAAAAAGAATTGAGATTCACATGACCCAACATCGGCAAAATTTGGAGGGGGGAGAAATTGTCAATATTTCCGTATTTATTTTTCTTGATCTTGTTAAAGTCAAATTATTACAAGTAGTTGGCTATACAAAAGAAATAAAATAATTCTAAAATAAAATTATTATGAATATTTTAGACATGGGTGTCGCCCAAACCAACGTTCGATTGTAGTTGACGGGTTTTTATGCGAATTTTAACAGAAGAGCATGTTTAATCAATTTTACAAAATATAGGAGCATGTTTGATGTAAAAAATAGTATAGAAGCATGTTTGATAAAACTATAAATTAGTGGGGCATATTATGAAGATTGCTATTCGTCGTGCTAAAATTTCTTATTGGTCACCCTAATTATCATTAAATGACTTATATAACCTTAATTTAGTATTTGTTTTCAAAACATGTAAATACATAGTAGACTATTGATTTTGCCTGGCCACACGTGGAAGCCGTCAGTGTCTTTTCCCTCTTGGTTCACACCTCCAGCTCCAATTCTAACAATCTCGCCGGCCGAGGTTCTTTCGCGTAGATCTCTAATTCTAACTTCTTGCTTCGTCGGAATCCTTGCATTCTTCCCGCTCCCAAAAGCTTTCGCTACTTCCAACTTCCCCAGGTCACCGCTTCCTCCAATTCGGCTGTCGCAAGTCACATAAGTTTTCGATTCATTGTTATGATGGTTTCATTCGAATAGGGATGTCAATCAAACTCACGGTCGCGGGTACCCGACCGTCTCCGACCTAGTCAACGCGGGTAATTCCCGCTTTGACCGGGTATGGGGCGGGTATGAGTAAAACCCACAAAAAGTTTGATGGGTATGGGGCGGATATGATTTTAGCCTCCCCGCCCCATACCCATACCCATATCCGCCCCACCAAGAGAATTTCTTCACATATACAAATATATGTGAATCAAATTGTAATCTATCAATGATGATGAGGATAACTTGAAGAAATAAATAGTAGAAATGCAGTTGAGTGTGTTGAAGGCGTCGAGCGCGAGATGCCTGTTAATTTTTGTCGATCAGATTCACCTGCAAACCCTAACCCGACTCTTTGCTTAGATCAGTGAAGAGGGAAATACGAATGAACTGAGAATGTGAGATTGCAAATCAACAGAGAATAGAGATAGATTGACGTATAACACTGGGCTCGAGTTTATTTAGGCCCACTGATAGCCAGGCCTTGAATCGAGCTCGTAGTGCACAGATCCTCCTAAGGTCTAAGCTGTGAGTTTTAACAACAACTTCAGTGTTGTTTCCTTATGTCCAAACGAATTCAGCTCCCCTGTTTTTCAACCAGTACAAAGTCATGCAAACAGAGTTAGTCACACTAATAATAAACAAAAGAACAATATAGGCTATAACACGTTTTTACGTGGTATCCAGAGCTGGGTAAAATGATCCCCAACTCTGACTAATCCACGGACGAGAGATCACTGTTGTGTGATTCTCGCCAATCCACTAAGTATGATGCTTTTGTTGCTCCGATTCAGAGATACACTCTTAGACTTAATTACCCAACCCCTACAGGAAGGATAATCCTTCAATCCCAGAACTTCTTACTCCTCAGCTATCCAGCTGCTTTTCCCAACCTCTAATACACTATCACTCCTGATCTTGTGTTTAGAGCCGCTCTTCCTATCTCTCGTTGCTTACAACTCACTGTGTACTCTTGAACGAGATTTTCCAGAAAAGCACACTCAATTCCTTGACTTTGATCCTTTTATACTTCTTCATAGCTAGCCGTTAGTGTTAGAGTGAGGCAATTCCTCTTCACTTGAAATCCTTTCCTTAAGAGCCTCTCTTGCGTGGATCCTTTGCCGAATCAAATCATCCACCATTTGCACGATTTCTTTCCTTCTGTAGAAACTTGTATCCCACGTTTCCTCCTTCAAATTCTGTGATTAATGGCTGGCTTGCTGACTTGCTCACAACAGAGTGACCACCTTATTCAAAACCTAATTCATTTCCCTCCATTCTCCTTTCACTCTTTCACTTTCCCCTTGTCAACAAGATTATGTTAGTTAATTATTTCTTAGTAGATGTATCAGAGTTAGAACATAATAATTTAAAAAATATTATACTCTATATTATGTATTAACGAATGTTTTAGGATTCTTTGAACCGTATTAAGAAAATGATCGTGTTTTGTTGAATTCGTGATATAATAGGTACGTTTAGAGTTGTAGTTAAAACTTTACTTGTAAATTTTAGGATAATAATGTTGGATGTACGGGTACAGGTATTACCCATGGGTACCCGAAACCCACGGATATGGGGATGGGTTTGCCAAACATTCCCCCGCATGGGTATGTGGTGGGTATGGGTTTGGATATTTGAAGATGGGGATGAGGATGGTTTAGACAAACCCACCCCAAACCAGCCCCATTGCCATCCCTACATTCGAAAGTGAATAGCGATACATCAGTTCCGCCCGCTGTTTAATTGGTTGTCAGCCTACAGGTATTGACGCCATCGATAGAATCTATCATCTTCGCCAATATAGTTATGCTGCTTACAACATAAGCTGTGAGTATATACTCACACGGCCGATTGGAGGTCCACGACAGCAAGCCACGATCTGAGGGTGTAAAGATGATTGGCGCCGACAGGTGAGAGCCGAGACTACCTTTGCGGCTCGGCTGGCCCAAATCTGCCAATAAAACCTGGCCCAACCAAATTCAAACACCAAAAAATTCAAAAAAAAAAACTCACCTTTTATTTAGTTTCCTCTACTCTCTCTATCATTATTCATTATGTTGGTTTTATTTCTCTCCCCTCTTCAAAAGATTTCCCTTTCCTCTCCCAATAACGCACAAAAAAATCTCTCCGTCGAGGGTTGCGATGAAGATGACGGCGGCGACGAGGCCTACAAGGAGAAGACGACGACGCAAGGAGAAGACGCCGGTTCTTGGCGACGATGGTAGCGGTGCTTGAAGAAAGAATGCGTCGGCCGAGAGGGAGGAAGACGACGATGACGGCGGCAAGGAGAAGAAGGTTGTTGAGGTAGATGTCTTCCTTTCTCTTGATTCATTGATTCGACTATATGGTTTTATGGATTCGAGATCTGGGGTTCTGTGGGGTTGGGATCTGTGATTCAATTTGGGGAATATGGGATTCTATGCGTTTGGGATCTTAGATTCGATTTGGGAGATCTAGGATTCGTTTGGGGGATTTGGGATTTTGTGCGGTTGAGATCTGGGATTCGATTTGTAGATCTGGAATATTAGTTCGCTTAATATGGATAATAGTTAGCATGCTTTGGATACTACTTTTTATACTGTGGATATTGATTGTTCGGATATTAGTTATGTGATGTCTGTATATTTGTTTACTCTGTCTTGATATTTCTCTGCCTTATATGGATGTTAGTTCGCTTATATTAGTTCTGTGCGATTGAGATAGGGGGTTGCTAATTATCGTCCTACCCTTTTTATAATCGCCCTAACTTAGCAGTTAAAATTATAATTTTACCCTTCTAAAATATTTTATTATAATAAACACAAACATCTAAAAAAATTCTTTGCCGCTACCACAACTCGTCGAGGTCACCACCACCGGCCGCCACCACAACTTTCCACCTCCGGTCGTCTTAACCGCATCGATCACCAACCCCCTAGTAGTGCATAGGTTCCCATAGCAGTCAATCCATCGAGATACCATTGGCCTATTTATTAATTCTCAACGCTAATCCACTCTATCTTTGTTCTATCTTCCAATCCTCGATGCAAGTGCAAGAGCGTTGACAGGCTGCTACCGCCATTGCCAGGAACATACTCGTCGCGCATGGAATTATTAGCCCTCAATAAATTGTAAGGATGAAATCGCCACTTTGTTTCCCTCCACATGCAATCTCAAACATAACCCCCTATATATATAGTAGTTATATAGTGATGGTGAGGGAGAATAAGGAAGACATGAGAGAGTAGAGGAGGATTGGGTGGTTGCCGGAAGGACGTTGACGGCGGATTGGGTGGATGCAGGAAGGACGTCAGCGACAGACTGAGTGTTTTTTTTTTGTTAGGATGGATTTGATTTGTGATTTTGTTTTCATTTTATGGACAATTATATAATTTCCATTTTTAAGTTAGGGCGACGTTTAGCCGTCCAGTTGAGATATTATGTCTGATATTAGGTATGCCATTGGTGGATATTTTTTTTGGTTTGTTTGGATATTACTCTGGATGTATGGATTATAGTTACCTTATATTAGTTCTGTGTGGCGGGGATATCAGTTGATTGATACCTAGATATTTATCTATGATTTCAGGGATATATTGGACAATGGCAAGAACTAAAACAAAAGCGAAGAGACCACA